ATGAATTCCAAACCTAGAATTCTAGAATTCATGTACTGACATGCAATTTTGCATATCCCTCAATGTCTATATGTCCAATGTTTTTCTCTCATATTTTTTCGATCGCACAACTTGACCAACCCCAGGCAGACACTAAATGGTCAGAAACGCGTTCACATCATTTTAACGCGTTTAAACGTTTTTGCTACTGAGTTTTTCACTTTTAAATCGTGTTTACAGTTTATTTTAAGTAAATTTGATCAAAATCGTTAAAAACGCCGCAATTCTGCGTTTTTAAAAAAATTCACGTTTTAATAATACTTTTCCGTTTTGCTTCGGTTATCAAGAGAAAAATAACAACTACAAAAATCTGATTATTATTATTTTTTCAGTGAGTACCATACATTGCCACTCAGTAGCGGTTGGTCGGTGGTAGTTTCCACCACGCATCTATTACTAATGAGTAGTAAGTATTTAGTTTAATCATTCTGTTGCACTTATACGTCGTCGAATGCATCTAAATCACGTGTCATGAAATAGTGACTATCAGTTTGATTGCTTTCTATCAAGTGGTAAGTGTTACCATTTGATGCTTAGTAGCAGGCAACTGATGTTTAGAACCTGTATCTCCTACTAATAATCAGTAAAAGATCAGGTCCGATATTTATTGTTAGTGAGTAGGAATATTAGACGAAGAAAACTTTTTATGATTATCGAGTCAAGTCAGAATAGATAGAAGTATAATGATCTTACTGAAAATACCGCCCCTAGTGAGTTTACATGTACTTTAATGACGTATTGTCAGTGTATCTGCTCAGCAATATCTGACTGTTACTGGAAAATCGATAACAGAAATATTGTTCAGTGTTAATATTTGATGAGAATGTAAAACAAGCTTAAATTTGATTTGCTGTGTAGTAATCACCATAAACTGATTTACTGAACAGAAATAGTCTTATAGCACATCTCATATTGAATATCTTGAATAATCGGAGTGTCGACAATTAATGTTATATTGATTTGTTTCAACGAACATTATAACATCATCTTATTTTACTACACATGTAAGAAGATTAACTTTAGTTTGATTGTATTTCGTGAATTATAATAACAAGTAGACGGATATTACTAACGTAAAAGGTAACGGAAAATTATCATTAATATTACTATATGCTAATATGTCATATTGACTAAATAATTGATTCCTTCATTGTTAGATTAAATGATAAGTATAACCTTCTCTTTTAAAAGTACAAGTATATACGAGTAATAAGCATAATCAATCAAGATAAACAAGTTAGTTTTTCTTCTTTTCGTATAACTTATAATTATAAAATGAGTTAGAGTTTAGCTCTTTCAATGAAAGTTCCGATAGTTACCTATTTTATATTTTATCTGCTTCTCTTCGCTAGATGGAAATAGAGTTCCTCATCCATCCACATTTAAAGAAATTTTTTTCGTTCTGTCTTTCCCTTCTGTCCAAGTACACAGAGATATTCAAAGGAAGGTTATTCTTTTTTCATCCTCTCGTCCGATTATTCGTCTGTTCTTTTCATTTTGAATTTCGTTTGCGTTCGATTTCGTACACAGAGTAGTTGCCTAACTAAGCAGATCACTTAGCTTCTAACGTATGCTGAGAATTAATGCTACATTCATTATTTGCAATGTGCACGTTTCTTGTGTATAATAGTGAGAATATTCTATTCAGATAAATTCATTTTTGCGGAAAATCATCCAAAATGAAAGAAAGAATAGGACAGTTACCACATTACTATTAACTGCGAGTTTTTATATAAAGTAGCTTGATACTCGCTAGATTAGTGTCCACATAGACGTAATAGATGCGATACAGATGGCAATACGATCAGAACAGTCACTCATAAACGATTAACATACAATAATTTCATTAGATATTTTTCAATCAGAATGTTTGACATAGAGTGCTCATCACGAGTACGTGTATCAAACAAGATGTGTGAAATAGTTTAGTTTCCTACTCAATGGAAGAGATATCTCAAGTCATCAGAAGATGAATCATTTTTAAAAGAAATGTCACAGAAAGAAAATAGATAGTGATTCTCGTTCATAGACGTAGCCTAGTCAATTTGAAAATTGACTCGAAACACATAAAAATTATGACACTTCGTAGCGCATCAATGTTGCTTCTAATTATATCACATTTGGGAACTTCGATACTTTAGAACTTGATTCAGATAATGTTAAACTTATTAGTGAAAATAGAAAAGCACATTTGTCTACCATAGTAGTACCGGTAGTAATTCTCTGTGTATTAGAAACTGGTTAGATAAATCGTGTTTTGCTTTTTTCTCATCAACTCCTATGTTAACAGTATTATTTAAAATATATTCATCAATCAATCACATTCATGACTTATTGCACATGCGAAACATGAGTTTAAATGATTAAATTTTCTTCTCGTTGATAAATTGACCGATTCTAGACACATTGTAATCAAATTAATGTTCAACTGACATTTATTTATTGTTTGAAAAGGGTGAGGAGAATTTCTCTCATAAGTTTGTTTCTTTTATATTAAAATGAAGTCTGCATTTTACTATTTAATTATTTTCATGCTTTCCTTTTTGTTTTGTTTTTTCTAATAGTAGAACAGAATGACAAGACGTTAGCGCTGTTTTATTAAACCTAAGTATTTTTATCTTCCATTGCGTTGTTGAAAAGGAGAACAAGAAAGTATGCAAATAAGTAAATAGTAAAATGTAAGCTTAGCTTTAATATGAAGAAACGAAGTTACGAGAGAGAAATTCTGTGTGCCTTTGTAAAAGAAGAAATAAATGTCGATTTAACATTAATTTGATTGTAGTTTCTCCATAACCGGTCAGTTTATCAATGAGAAGAAAATTTAGTTATTATGAATCGTTGAAATTACATCGTTTAGATAAAACATTTGCTTATCGTTAAGAGGCGTTATAAGGGAAATTATTTAAACCGTTTAAACGGTATCATTAGTCGCCAAAAACGCGTTAAAACAGTTAAAATGTCAAGGGCTCCAAGAATTTAAAAGTGTAAAACGCCAATTTTTCATAAACTGTGTTCCGGAGTTTTTGGTGACTAATGATACTGTTTAAATAGCTGGTATATTGAGATGTTTAAAACGCCGCTTTTTTTGCCTTTTTGTTGTCTGCTTGGGGCCATTGTTGAATAGAAAAGGAACGATGTAGTCCTTGCCGAAGAGAAACTGAAAGTTGTTTTACCTTCTTTAGTTCAGTATACAACATACAGGGGGTAACAAAATTATAGGCCCCCCTATGTCATAGCCAGAAAAATGAATACTATATTTTGGAAAGAAATTTCTTTCCAAAATATAGTATTCATTTTTCTGGCTATGACATAGGGGGGCCTATAATTTTGTTACCCCCTGTACA